CTCATAACAAGGCTATCAAATGAAGGCTGGGACATGGTGACATATCACATGATAAAATGGGAGCACAGCACATGGGCAGTACAGTCTGGTCTGCACTGGTCCAAGGGCTCAGTAGCTACCGCACATAGAACATGGGGATGATTGATTTGTCCACAGAATATGGGTGAGAGTTACATTTCTGAAAACATCCTCAATAAAAGACAATAAACAAATGCTTTCTATTGAAAATGTTCTATTGTATATCAGCCACCAACCATTTGAGCATACCCAAAAAGTTCTGTCACGCCAGGCACACCCAAAGAGCACTTTATTTTAAGCGCTGTCTGCTGTAACCAATATCGTAGCTCCACGTCGTACCCTATAGCTCTCATAGGGTCAAAGACCATGTTCAAGCCTTCATTTAAAGGTCAAGACACCAAACCGACATCAAAGAACTGGTGGTGACGGAGGCCAACTGTTGCGTCGCCTCACGTTGCATGTGTCTCGGCCAAAAAGTTGCACTTGAACACACCAAAAAGACCACAGCCAGCTGAGGGAGTAATTTTCCATACCAGCAGGAGGCGGTAGTCTGTATTTGTCATTCAAAAAAGGAAAGCAGAAAACTGATAGGACACAAGACGCTAGTTAGCCAGCTAGCACATTAACAACACAACCCGATGTTAAGAATTCTCAATCATCCAAGTCATGGTAACCTGCTGAGTTGCAGGCTTTAAACTCTGTGTGGGTGTGAACCCTTACAGAATCATTGAGGTCACATGTGAGTCAAAGAAGCAGCTTCTTGGATGAGAGGCGAAATGGCTTCAAGAAACGCAAGCAAGTCCAATTGCCTATGATATAGCACTTAAGGTAACCAGATGTTGAAGAACAAAGGATACTTACTTTGCGCCACTGAACAATAACACAGACAATTACAAACCGTCTCTGCTAAAGAGCTCAACGGCGAGAAAAATAATCTTACCTTCATATAGCAAGTGCTTTTCGATCTCACGCCCTCTTGACTTCAGCCATTTGTTTGCTTCCCTCACGTCTGTTTCTCTCTTGTGCACTGTCAATCAGAGTGATTTTACTCACCAACAGGCTCTGCTCGCTCCAACACCATTTCAGCATTCTGAATCAGCTGTAAAAGCTGACAAGGGCCAACCAGTGCCAGCACTGTGAGACACTGCAAAAACTAAGGTGACAGACATTCACCGACGACCCAACATTAACCAAGAGCTGATCGTTGGCTTTGTGTTAGGGCCCCAATGGCCTTGACTGGTGAAAGCCCACATCTTTCAATGTGTATGCCCTCAGTTGTAAAAACAGGAGGTTTTCTGGTTTCAATTAAAAGTCTTAAAGCTGTTGAGATAAAACTGATGAAATCATAATGACATCACCAGAGTCATTTTAAGACTAGTTACTTCAGACTGACACAAGTTGTTATACAACTGTTACAAAAACATCTTTGCCCAAGGTCTACGTGATAGCTTTTTTTGCAGATTTAATCCGCATTTCCTCTTAGGATGACTGCAGGTAAAACGCTGAATAGAAAAGTGGACCTTGAGTTGAAGGTTCAGTGTGTAAGATTTATGGGAATTTAGTGGCATCTTGCAGTGAGGATTGCAGAATGCAACCAGTTGAATATTCTCCCAGTTAGAATTCCTTCAGTGTTCGTTGTTCAGGAGGTTTTTACTGGGAGCAAAATTGTCCGCAGAGATCTGTTCCTCTCTAAAACAAATGGACCGGGTGGTTAAAACTGGTAAAAACACTGAAAAAAGCAGTTTCATGTTACAAATCAGTATTTTTCCTACACTGGTCGCAAGTTGCAGACAGGTTGCTATCCCAGCACCTGCTAATGTGTGCTCACCTTTTTTCTGATTTCGACATTTAGGAGGTTTTTACTGTCAGACAAATTATCACCGGAGGTCTGCTCCCCTCCAAATCAAACAAACCCAGTGATTCAAACCCATAAAATCACTGAATAAAGCAGTTTTACGATAAAAAAATCTGTTTTTTCAATGCTCTCGTCACAGAAAGGCTGCGAAATGCGAATGGCCCTATCTAGAGCCAGTAGTTTCTCTAATCTGGGCTACTGTAAAAACATGGCAGGCGATCTTCGTGAATGAGGACCAGCTCCCTTTCATTCTTGGGTAACGAAAACACAATATTTTAGGTGGTTATACGCTTAAGAAAACTTACTTATATTCAGTTTTTGCATATATATCCTCCTAAATCCTACACACTGAGCCTTGAAAGCAAAAGTCTGCATTTTGGACACCCTTATTTGCTTTCTGGCAGAGAGTTAGCTGAAAGGAACAATGCAAAGACTGGAACCAGGGGTAAACGTTAGCCTGGCTCTATCAAATAGTAAGGACATCCGCCTACCTGCACGTCTAAGGTTCAACACAATACAATTACATTGCATCTGTGTACCAATGAGCTGTGTCTACTCCGCTCTTGAAAGAGCACACACCTCACGTGTACACATCATCATGGCATCACCATTATTGTCCAAACAAAACGTGCACACAAAGCCTTGCGCACAATAATGTTTATCTCAGATCCTTATCTAGGTGTTCTCGATAACCAGGCAGCAGCTCCAAGTCCTGCCTGACGAAATTCACCTCTTGACTGAGGTGAGAATCTCTCTTGACCAAACACCACAGCTCCAGTCGCTCCGGGGCAAAGAGAAAGGTGTCTGAGCGCGTGTGAATGTGTGCGTCAGCTTGTGTCACTGATAGCTTGGGAGCCTAAATAAACATGACAGAGCAGATGTCCATTGGCTCTGCAACACAAGCCATATCTGTCTTGTTAATGTGCTCTAACATACAAAGAACATTTGCAATTCATGTCTGTCTCAGGGTGCGCTGTATTCCCCGTGGTCGTTGGAGCAAGAGGGAGAGTCACATCACCTCTGGGATCTGCAAGTGCATCTGTGAGTGTGCTTCTTAGTTAAATATGTCAAAACAGATTCTGTCTTTATTTTTCAATGTGACACAGTCTTTCTTTCTGAGGTATTTTGTTCTATTTTCTTGAAAGTTGGAGATGGATTTAATTTGAGGATTCATTAACCTGTTTTTGGGCATTTCCAAAAGGAATCCCCAATTGTCTCTTATGTAATGTGAGCTGATATTAAAGGCATAGTTCAACATTTGGGAAATATACTTCTTTGCATAAATTAAGGGTGCTTTCAGACCTAGAGTTCACTTGCTTTGGTCCGAATCAGGGACTAATTTTGTTACACAGTTGCATAATTGCCTAGAGTTGGTTTGTGTTCTCACGGCAGCATTTACAAGCGGACCAGATCAAATGCCTTGCACGCGAAAGCTGCTCTTGATTGGTCAGAATTTCCATGTGGGAAAAATCCAGGAAGTAAACAAAACGCACCACAAAAGGAACCGCACCAGAGTTTGTTTGTAACCAAACTGAGACCACCTCTGCAAGAAGGTGTTGGTCTGGTTGTTTTGGTGCGCATCCAAGCGTGATCGCTGTGTTCACACCTGCCCAAACGAACTGCACTCAGGGGGCAAACGAACTTGATTTCGACTGAACCGAACCACACGGGGCAGGTGTGTGTGAAAGCATCCTAAAAAGATCAATGCCACTCGGTATAAGATGGAGCCTGTTAGCACGTCTTAGCGTAAAGAGTGGAACTGGGGACAGTACTAGCCTGGCTCTGTCCAAAGGTAACAAATCCACCTACCAGCACAGACACGACTTTCGGAGGTCACTGCTCCACACCAAGAAATAGTCTTGCACAAAACCCTCCATAAAACCCACAACTTGTTTTTAAAGAAATAATCTGTTAATTGGTGAGTCTTAAGCGGTGCTGGTAGGCGGATTTTGCTTCCTTCAAACAGAGGCAAGGTAGATTTTTCCTGTCTTAATGCTAAGCTAAGCTAACCTGGCTATGTGAGTAATCTCATTGGGAAAGAAAGGCAATACATGTATTTAAAAAATGTTGAACTCTTCCTTTAATGTTACTGACATGGGCAAAACTGGGCCATCCATGACGAATCCGCTCCACAGCCAAGTCAGGGAAAAGAACACAAGTTTATGATTTCAAACCACAGCAAAACGTATTAATTAAAGTTTTTGGAGAAAAACTCCTGCTACAATAAACATTTACTGAAGATGTCTTGTGATGCTGTGTAACTGGGTTATAATGGATCTGTGGCAACCATCAGCAGATGACGCAACAATTTCCAGAGTTGTCTCTTCTTTCTCTGTCTGACGTTTCTCTTTCCTCATGGAAATGTTTTCACGAGTGCTCGATTCTAATCCCCCCATTCTGTAAATACTATATCAGTTCTTCCCACTCTGTCACACTCTTCTCACTTGCACTCCCTTTCATAACCCCTTCCCTTCTAACCCCACTCCTTTTGAGTTTGTCCACAACCATGGGAACTTCCAGCACGAGGAGGAGGGGGTGGGGGGGTGGGGGGGTGGGTGGGAGGCCGGAGCATGAGGGGCACGTGATTGGCCAAGAGGCAGGAACCACTCTGACATGATTGGCTGTGAGCCTGGGAGCTGTGAGTGCAGTTCCCTCCTTATTCCAGAGAGCATCAGTGAGCAGCGGAGTGGGACTTGCTGTGTTAGAGATGCACACCAGATACTTTTGTTTGTTTTGGTTTCTCTGATTGGGACTCTCAGAGAGCAAGCAGGAGACACTGCGGTAGCCAGGAGTGGATAAATAACCTCTTTCTGGAACTTTCTCAAAAAGGCATAAAGTAAGTTTTTATATTACCATATTTTCATATCTGTCATTGCTTTAGTGATAACTGTATCTGTAGTTCAGCAGCTCTTCTTGCTATGGACTTACTATTGAAGCAAAAGTGACATCACATAAAAAGTGACACATCGGTCAGTGTGGTGACATTAGCACAAAATCTGATACAATAACAAAAGTACGCATGATTACATTATCATATCATAAACTCTTAATCATAGTTCATACTCTGAAATTAGAAGTGTGTGTGCATGTGTGTGCACGTGCTATATGCATGAGTGTTTGTGTTTATGCACAGGCATGCACTGGATCTCTGAGAGTATGTACTTGCATGCTGTGTCTTTGAAGGATGTAGCCTTGTGCTTTAGGCAGGGGACGGTGCAGTGCAGACTTCACGGTGAGCAGCCTCATCTGCAAACTTGTCATCGCAATGCTTCGCATTGACAGAGGAGCTCAAGGACTCCCCTCCCAAAATCTCCTGGTGTGACTTTCAGGCTGCAGGGTGGTGGTGGCGGTAGCCAGCTATAAATAGGCCTGCTCCAAATTGTGCTGCAGTCACACATAAATTCAGAGGGAACAAGAAATGACAGAGTCATTGTTTGTATCCAAGTCAGGAGTACTTTGATCCTCTCAGCTACTACAAAAAATATAATTTGACTCCAGTATAAACACACAGTATAACCTAATAGAGTGAGAGGGAAGGGAAACACAGATACACAGAGATGGACAGCAGAGGAAGAGAGAGGATGATAGCATGTGTCTGTCAGCGTGTGTGTTTGGGTGGAAGTGTGAACATGTGTCAGAGTTTTCCTTGTTAAACTGCCACATGTGGCAGAGCAGTACTCAGCAACTTCCCTCAGCTCCCTTTAAGGTTATCACCTCTGCTGCTCAGTCAAAGAACAACTCCCTTTATTACCACAGAATAACTTATCTCTTGCTAAACAAAGCAGTTTGCCATAACATAAGGCGGGGGACTTGGCAAATGTTGCACCCCATATAAGGAGCGTATCCTTGTCTTGTTACGATGTATACTCACATGTGAAAACACAGGAAGGGTGAGTTTTAAAAGTTACATCATATCATTACACATAAATTAGACCCAGGAGGATTCAACGTTGAGCCAGCTGACCCGCTGACAAACACATGGACCTGTTTATGTTTCACATTTCAGCGCCTTCTCAAAGATGGAGACCAAGCCTCAAATGCTGTTGTTAAGAATTTTGTTTCATGGTAGCTCTTCAGTCCACATTTCCCCTTGTTTTACTCAGTTTGAAACCATCTAAAGACAAAAGTTAAAAGTTGTGCTCATGACATCAACTCATATCCAAACTGGCTGCTGTCTCCTGTCCTTTGTTGCTTCAAAGCAGAGGACTCAGCCTGCTGTTTCTAATATCTGCCTGTCTGTCAGCGGGCTTGTCTCAGAGCTCCTTTATTGCAGTGTAGAACACAGGCAGCCTTGTGTTGTACCTGACCTCTACTATGCAAATATATATTGTCAGATTGCCAGCCAGCGCTGCACTCCACCTCCGAGTGGATGAGTCCGCGAGATGAGAGCGAAAACACTGGGCCCATTGTTTCACCTGTGCATCACCTGAGTGCTGAGATAGGGGCTGTCGTCACAGGCTGAGACTTTGACTGATATGACAGGGGTGGCAGCACTCTCTTCCTCAGTGTTAGTTCTGTGATGAAGCATCTACTGTGCAGAGATCAGACCAAGCATCAGAGAATACTATTATGGAGCGCCTGTTAAATTTTTATTCCTAACCTCTGTTTGTTTTCTTGTTGTTATGTTGCCCTCGGTCTCTTTTCTGAATGAGTGTTGCTGCTTGCCAGTGTGAGTGAATGGGAGCACAGAATAATGAGCTTGGCTCAATGTACTGAGTGTGTGTGAGTGTATGTGTGTGTGTGTGTGTGTACTGTACAGGGACAAAAAGCACCTGCGCTGCTCCTGATGTCTTGGTTTTCTGAAGAGGGATCTCTGCAGCTGTGCGTGCATGCACTGTACGTGCACAAATCCTCCTCTGGCTTCTGCGATGATGATCGTCTGTAGGACCTGAATTTAAAGGGATACTTTGCTGATTTTCAACCAGTTTTTGGATCATACCAATCGGAGTAGCATGTGTAAATGAACCATGCTCAACTACCCTCCCTATTAGCAGCACCCAGATCTCCCTGCTCATCTCCCAGCTCAACAGGAAATGGGAGCCATACTGTTTCCTGTATTGTAAAAATGGAGCTGAAAAAGATAGCTTACTGTTAAACTATAATTCGAGATAATTTGTTAACGGCCAGCCGCCATATTACTTCCTGCAACCATAGACTGTCAAAAAAAAATGGACATGGCTACCGTAAAGTCACCCATTGGTTTGTGGACTCCCATTGTGAAGCCTCAAGTTTGGCATTTTAGCCGTCGCCATCTTCAAGATCAAGATTTTTGGAGGCAGGAGTGATTAAATTTGGACGAGAGGGTGAAGCTGTGGAGGACTGAGGAGTGGATCTGACTTATAGACTGTGGTGACATCTCACAGACGGCATGTCACTCAAGCAGCCAAGCCCTTGATTATATGTAACTTTAAGCCCTGATCAAATGTAAATGGGTGAATTATATGAAAATTACCCCCGTACAGTTGTCGTGAAGGGGAAAACCACCTATCGAGAGTGAAAACTGTTTTGTACTAGACTATAAACATGTTTATTTCGGCGGTAAAGTTGGGCGTTTAAACATGACCGTCTATGGGGATTGACTCGCTCTTGGAGCCAGCCTCAAGTGGCCATTCATGGAACTACAGTTTTTGGTGCTTTGGCGTTGGCTTCATTTTTTAGCCCTGGAGGTTACTGTTTGGTCACAACAGCCAAGCTCACATTACGTCACCCACCAGGGGGAGCGGTTGTCGGTCTGCTGTGGCGCAGTGCATTCTGGTAGCTGTAGGTTTTCTACCCCCTGAGCAAAAACACATGTCATAGCCCAGTCCAGTTTTATGAAAAGACTGTCTTTCCAGCAGTGAAATACATCTTTAAAGTGACAGTGTAGACTCGAGAGTTTATCAGACTTTGTTGTATTCACACTGCTCTGTTAGCCACAGCTATGAGTGATATAATGAGTGATGTAGCTTTTATGATTTTCCAGGGGTGAAGAGTCAGGGGTCAAGCAACAGTGGAGGAGCGCTATGTTTGGTGCCAACAAAGTCAAATGTCAGAGGTTTTCCTGAGCCACACATGGCATTTTAGAAGTGGGAGTTAATGGAAAATTATATAATTTGCTTCCCAAAGCATATTCATTACTGTAATAAAGCCAGTGTTTGTTTTCCCCAGTTTTTCTGGCAAGGCAGAGTATGCATAAGTCCTTTAAAGCTCTTGTGCAGAGGCAGTACGCATACATACACACAGACATGCACACACAAACACATATAAGCAAACTACATGCCAAAAGCGTTAAAGCGTCTTTTATTGGAAACTCTATTCCCATAACAATGAGCAGGAAAGTCTGTGTGTAGTCAGGGCTTTTAGAGGCCATTCTGGGACCTTGTTCGTCTATCAAGCTTCAATAACATTTACTGGGCGGGTTGATTGATTGTAAAAGTCCAGTCCTTTTAAAGCAAGGCTTGTAAGGTATTACTTTTACATGTGTTTTTAAGTGACAGGAAATAGGTTTTTGGAATCAAGAATGGCGTGTTGCTTAGGTAAAAGATGTTCCTTGCCTCCAGATGTTTGGCCATGTTGTCATGAACCCTGTGACGAATGTGCTGTTTGATATTAAATCCAAGGTTTTTGACTTTTGAACCTTTTAATGGAGTCTGTTCCCCTTGCACGCCCTTAAAAGGCAGCACCATATGCATGCCTTAAGATCATCCCATGACACATAATGACTTACACAGGCATGTCTAAAACAGCATACAGGAAAGGATACAAGGAGATAAATTTGTCTGCCTGACCCCATCTTCCTCTCTGCCTTCCTCTCTCTCTCTGTAGTGTAGCCCAATAAACACTGACCTTCAGCACAGCTGGATGGTATCTAGAGAGCCACAACACAACTTAGTATTATTAAGCCACACTGTCATGGTCAGCAGTGAGGCAAATATAGCCTTTAATTGATGTGATGTACACCATCATAAGCAGGGACTAACTGAATCGATGACGAGGGCGATCTCTGCCTTTGCAGCAGCATCTGTGTGTGATGACTTTGTTACGTTACGCAGGAAGAATGACCTCCAAGGGACATGAGAGAAGAGAAGAAGAAGAGAGAAACAGCTGGGGCCTCGAATTCACTTGTACTTCCCTTTCCCCTTGGTACAATAGAGGTCCTGTCATTGTGTTTGTCAGCGTTTTTTTTTTAAATAAAGAGCAACAGCTTACGCAGCTTTTGCAGATGCACAGCTAGTGATGTGGGATCTGCCCCAGCCTGGATTGTGGAGGGAATAGGTGGGGGGGCTTGATAACATCTCCAGAGAGTAATGGTATGCGCTGGTCATCTTTTGGTCATCTCTCGCACGGCACATCCTGGTGCTTAATTTCGCGAATACACAATACTTTGTTTCCCTGTGCTGCAGTGAAACTTTCCGTAAACAACTGTTGACATTTTCTATGTTTAGACTGGGTCAGGGCAGTGTTGCTCATAAAAACCCAAGATGTAGACAGAAGATCAGATGTAGGCTCTGCCTCTGCAGAGTGGGGCAGTGTTGTCCTTGAAACCCAACTCCTTTGTTTGTCCAACACCACTATCAGACCAGGACAGTATCAAATACAATAGAGAAAAATGAACACCACTTTCAGTAGTTTGAGATTTGCTCAGGACAGTGAAATGAGTGCATTCAGCACTTTAACGACTGTTCCAGCCCCACCACAGCGTCTCCAACAGAGTCAAGCAACTGGATAGTGTTGCACTGTAACATATCAACTTGTCTCTCGCTGAGAAATGATTGCACTGCTTGGAGTAAGCACACACCACAGAGTAATTGGAGTTAAGTGCCTTTGACAGCTCGTGTTTGTGCAAGGAAGGGATGAATAAACATAAGTGGTGGCACATGGATTATTTGATTTTTTTTTTTTCCTGCAACAGGGCCAAACAGGACTTGCTCAGGCTCACTCCTGACATTTGCATTGAGCCTCCACCTTCCTCCCAATTGACAGGGTGCAGCGGATTCTTTCTTGCCAGTTGGCAAGAGTTTGATTAAAACAAGGCCATATCGTCCAGTGTCCTGTATTATTTATCAGGTCATGGCCCTGATAAGAATCCTGCTTGGTGTAGGACACTGTTGAATGGAATAAAGCCAGGTAGCTGACATTAGATCAGGCAGGCTTTGCTTGCACTGCCACACTCACATGTATAACACGTTACTCTCTGACACACAAATCCAATGCACCTTTTTCTAATAACATAGTTTTTTAAACTAACTGTGCTCTGCCCCCTCTTTCACTCTGCCAAACTGACATGGCAACAATTAAATCTTGTCGGGACAGTTCTTTTGTGTTTTTGCTGTGCTTTCCAATGTTGCTGCATTTAATCATGTTACCTCAAAAGAACTAGAACGTATAAAGTGTCCGTCCACATGAATACGCAAAGTGTTTGTAGCTGTTACAAGCTGCCACACTTGAAGGCGGGGTGAAAAGCCTGTTCTCATTTAAAGGATCATGAAGTGATAATTGTTTAAATATGGGGATAACACTGTGTTACATGGTGTGCAGCTGACTAATGGAATGTCATTGCTTGTTATTTTGAGTGTTACATACAGTCTCTTTCAAAATAAATGCACTTCGTCAGTACACCAACGCAAATTGACGTTTAACTAACACGCGGTTACGTTTAGGCAACAAAAACACGTGGTTAGTTTTAGGAAAAAAGAACAGTTTGGCTTTAGAATCTTACGGGACGCAAACACCACTCTCCCAATGGAAGGTTGGTGTTTATTGAACCCATCCACCCGCCTCCTGTCCACCCTTCTTAGAGAACTTTTGTTCATGTCCCGCCACGTTTCCCCTGATGTCGCTGAGCGCCATTGAACGATAATGGCAACAGGCTGCATATCGTCTGATGCCACAAGTCCAAGCGCCAGATTTCAACAACTTTGGATTGAGAGTGGTTTGGGATAACGATTAAAATAATTTTCCATCCTAAAAATTTACATTTACATTTGTTTTAATAAACATGTTTTATTAAGTTGACAACTTATTTTAAGAATTTGGTCAAAATAAAAAAACATTTTTGACATTTCAAGCAAGATGGAATTAAAATAAATAAGTTGCAGTATATTAAATGAAACAGTTTCACTGTTAAATATCAACACAACTTCTGGATAAATATGAATACGGTTCAATTTAATTAGGTTTTTTCAGGTCAAAGCAAATTATGTTGGCTGTACTAAATTAATTGAGTTTGTCACATTATAAAAGACTTGTGGGATTTACTCAATTATGTCAGAGTTGGACCTACTTATAAAGATGCATGCAAATTGTTACCTTAATTTTTTTTTTTTTAAGTTGAACCAGTGGTTTATTTTTTTAGGGTGTACATTTTCCTCACGTCATATTCCTCTCATCATCAGACAAATGTTTTAGCTTAAAATCCATAGGTTAGTGTGATAGCTTGCTTTATCTTTTACACCAGTGGTTCCCAACTGGTGGGTTGTGATCCAAAAGTGGGTTGTGGCTCCATTCTGAATGGACGGCAAGTGATTAAAAACAAACAAAAAAAAAACCACACACACACTCTATGTTGAAGTGTTGTTTCCTGCTTTAGAGACAGAACCCTAACCCTAACCCTAAGTAGAAATCTGGACCAGTTGGGAACCACTGTTTTACACCATTATATATCATCTAAACTTAAGAGCTTTTCGGTTTATGTTGCTCCACTTGCTGCCAAATTTATGTTTTTATGTGCAGATAGTCATCTTGGTTACACTATAATACTTCATAAGAGGATGCATATGAGGTGGATTTATGGATTTAGATAGTATATTATCTGTAATGTTTGGAGGTTGGTGCGATTCCACATTATATGTGGCTCTGTATCAAATGCGCTTTTTGAAATTTGTTGCTCAGAGTGCTGTGTGAGTGATGACGCCAAAGCCTATATTGACTCTGTCTGTAGTCTGTATTCTAGTTTCATGTCATACATTCACAAAATTGGCTGACTGAAATAGTGAAGTGTAGATTAGGCGTATATATCAAATGTTTTGCACACAGTCGTTAATGAATGAGATACCATCTACACCACATAATCTGATTGCTGCAACACTACAGTTCCAACAATAGCTCATCATCACTTACAGATATCTGAACGTCTCATCCTCCTCATTATCCCATTTATCTGTTATCCATCCATACATGGATGTGAGATGGGACCTCGCTGCGAACAGATGCACAAAATGTTCCTTTGAAATGAGTTTGCCCTCTTCCTGCTCTCATTTGTCTGCTGGTTCAAACTAGATAAATGCTCTCTGTAGTAACACGTCACTCTCTATTCTGTTCTCTCACTCCTACTGTCTGTTCCTCTCACAACAGTGGGTGGAAGAGTGTTCGCTGGAGTCTCAGGGTCTAATTCCATGTGACCATCTAAGGATGTTGGCTCACGAGCCTCAGGCAGACCTAAATTAATCGCATATCTCATTACATGTTGATCTGTGGCGTAGAGATGTGTTTGCGCTCGGCCCTGTCTCGTAACTCAGTCAAACAAATAATCAAGTTATACAGTAGCAGGGTTTAAAACAATGAAGCGAATGTAATTTAATGGATACAGTGGATGTCTTTATTTTCACTGAATGCATATACACTACGAGCTGTTTGCCCTGCTGCATACTAAGGTCATCTCTCATGGAGTTAGTGGAGTTTCGACTGTTTAGTGCATTACAGCATTGTCTTGCCGACAAGACCAAGTGTGAGATAAAGGCTGTCTTCAGTTTGTATATCAATTCCATGGTTTAAAAAGCAAAGGGGAATCAAGAAAATCTGCTCTGTCATTTTACTTTGAATCATCAAGAAGACACTGATTATCCTGCTCAGCCCTAATTAATGGGAAATGTTTTCCCTGGATGAACAAGCTGGGTAAGCATATCTGCCGGAAAATATTTGGTTTTATGGTTGTCTCTTACTACGTAGACAAGATGCCAATATCTCTCTGCAGTGTGATGCCGCTTCAAACCAGCAAATGTGATCATTGCAGGGGTTCACTGGAGAAATCAGCCCTGCCCTCCTTGTATCTCTGCCACCGGAAATGTTTTTATAAAAACAAGATTACAGATATGTAATCAGCTTGCTGGCTCCCCTCACATAATCCGAGGCCAAACTAAGCCTCAGAGCATGGGCTTTATGTAACATGACAAGAAAGCTGAAACAACATATCACCTCTGAGCGGCCTAGTTTTGACAGTCCTTTCTTTAGCTGATTGGTTTGTCTGTTTTGCTTACCTCAACCCAGTGTAACAGTCACACAACCTGCCCAGGGGAGGGAGCTCCTCCGCTGGCAAAAACATTCACTGCACGCACCATCATGGCTGTGAGTCATATGTTTCAGGACAGCTCAGCTGATTTTAATCGCCCTATGTGCATTTGTGCTAGAATACACTTCTGTTGAACAAAATTTGCATAGGAATTTGATATGATCCCCAGTCTGATGCAAAACGTCATGTAACTGAGGTTTTGTTTTTCATATGTGAAAGTGGATGTTACAAAAACTCAGGGCTGGAGGGCAGACTTTGAACGTAGCATTATTATCATTTGAAAAAAAAAATACTAATAATGTTCTGCCCACTATGAAGGACAAAAAAAGGACACAAGTATCAATAAATCAATAAATGTATTAAAAAAATACAGCAATTAATAAATGACAAATGGAAATAAATAAATGTAAAAATAAATGCAAGAAAAAATAAATAGATCTGAGTTAAATAAATAACTTTGTAATAAAAACATAAATATAAAAATAATACATAAGTAAATAAATAAATATGAGTTAAATAAATATATAATCAAATAAATAAATAAATGTAAAAATAAATAAATAAATATATTTATATTAAATACAGGAATAAATGAATAAATAAATTAATAAATACATATTGAAATAAATGCATTAAAAAAAACAATAGTTGATCATTAAACAGGACATAAATAAAAATCACAATTTATTTCTTCAGTTGTACAGCTACATTTATTTATTTCAGTGTCTATATGTTAATGAGGCAGTAGGGTCTAACCTCTGCATTCATTTATTATCTATTTACTTATTTCAGCATTTATTTATTAATACTTATATCATTTTTCATCCTCCACAGCCATAACTATGCGTGTAAGTGCACAACAACGAGCTAAACACATACCTCCAATGAAGTATGAAGACAGTCCTTGAAGTCTTTACTGGACGAGAGAAACCCAAGATATTCTTGACTGTAGGTGTGCACATAGCTAACATTAGCAAGCCAACTAAGAACGTAACATTAGCTAATTAGACAATTTTGTGAGCAGGAGATGTGCTGATTGGTGAAGGATAACTGGCTAACATTAACCATAGCTACAACCCCTGTGCCAAGCACACATCTCAGACCAGTCTGCCCACAGATGATGATAAAAACCCTACATTAAACACTCAGTAAGCCAACATCCACAATGTTGAAGTTTCTAAGGTGAGTGAGTGTTTAGTATTTACAGATTTTTCAAAGTAAAACTCCTTTATTTAGTGTTTTTACCAGTTTAAAACACTGGGTTTGTTTGTTTTATTTTTTATTTAGACGTTTATTGATCAGGGACAAATGCATTAAACATTATTTCATATAAAATACAAAACAGATGTCATGCATACAAGTTTCTAGCTGAAGCTAATTCGCAACCCCTTTCCCTGGTTAGGCTTTTGCTATTAAAAGCAAAGAGAGAAAGAGAGAAGGAAACACTTGATTTGTAAAGTGAAACTGCTTTTTTCAGTGTTTTTACCAGTTTTATTCCCCTGGTCCAGTCATTTTGGAGAGGAAGAGACTCCTGTGGATAATTTGGCTCCCAGCAAAAACCTCCTGAACATTTAAAACTAAACGAAACATAACCAGAAGTCTCAGCTGGTTGCAGTCTACAGTCCTCACCACTAGATGCCACTAAAGCCCACTTAAATCTTGCACACTGAGCCTTTAAAATGGAGAAGATGGAGTTAAATGGATGTGGTTATGTAGCATTTTGTAAAAGTCTGGCTGCCTTATGATACTGTGTGTGCATTCATATGGAAGAAATTCTCCCTTTCAAAATGCTGTGGGTGAGAAAAGGTGTTAGAGCGACAGAGCAGACACATTCACAAGAGCTGGAGCTATTGTGCCAAGGGAAAAATTGTGTCATGCCTTGGGTGAAATGTTCTAATGTGCTTGGATGCAGTGTCAGGGTTTTTCTCCTCTGTCTGTGTATGTGTGTGTGTGTGTATGTGTGTGTGGCAACCCTCTGATAGCAGGACCGTGTGCTGTGAGCTTCACAATAGGCAACAATACACTGGAAAGCAAATCAAAAACTTTGGCCCGGATTGTTTTATGATGACGCTGCAGTGCAATCATAACATTTTCCAGGCGGACTTACAGTATATGATACAAATAAGGCTGCTTCTCATCATGTTTGAAAGTATGCCAGCCCCCAACATAAATGCAGCTGGCTTTGCATCTGCCTTTAGTTTATTTTTTCCAATGTTAACGTATGGAAAAGGACTGGCAAGGCATCCAGTATTAATTACGCTGCCAGTCATTCGCCAACTAGCCGGGGTCAGTAACGGGGCAAAAACCACTAGCACTGGGTTTGCAACCTTGGCACTGAAGCGGCATTGCTGTGTTCGGTCAGTCGTCAGTGTCCAATATTGAATCACATCTGATGAGGGAGATGCAGGCCGAGATTCGCCTCACCAGTGCGTGCCTGCTGTTTTCTGCTGGGCTGTACAGATAGGAGTGAGTCATCCCTGGCTCTGCAGGGCCTACCTCTGCCTTGGGTCAGTGATGTCATTAGGCTGTAGTGGGCCGTGTGTGAGAGATGGGATAGTCGACAATGTCTCATTTGTGAAAGTGGGATGGAAAAAGAGCCTCTCTTCTCTCTTAAAATTGTGTGATTTTATTTCAGCATAACTGTAACTGATGTGTGCACAGTGTAGTGGCAGCTACTGTATAAACGATGTGTGGTGTCAGTTTACGTTGTTACTCTTGATTTAAAAAGACAACACATTCTGTAGCATGTTTTCTTTGTGCATAAAAGGGGACAGAAAAGGTATCAGGAGGGAAAACTTGGTGTGAGACATGCAGGCAGCAGCTCTCTGGGGACCTCTGCTGGCAGAGCTGCACACTATTTTCATGCTGTATACCTCAAATCTAAATTTAGATGGTAATAATTATATTTTTATAACAGTATTTTTGCAGAATGTTCAACCTCATTTTTCTGTTTATGCACACACACACACACCAATGTGGCTTGCGGCAGCTACTGGCTGTGACACTGTAGTATTTCGCTCGACACAACCCTTTCTTTAGTGTAACTGGTCCACAGTGAGCTGTAAACTGGTGCTGATATAAAAACTTTCTTAATTATCCATCAGCAGTAAGAAGAAAGTGGTGTTACAGTTTTAAAGGCCTCAGGTAACACTGTAAGCCTCTAATCTGGCTATTAAAACACATCACTGTAAAATAAGATACAGAGAAAAAGAGATAGTTAATTAGCAGCTTGTTTTGATCTGGTAGTATATCCACATGACAGTATGCTGGACTGAAACCAGCCTTGCATTGAGGCAGCATAGATTGATTTTTTGGGGGCGCCACTCTGGGGAAGTTGTTGGCGAATGTGTTTGTGTCCACCTGCCAAACACTGCTAAATGACCCACTATTATCACCAGCTCGTCGCTAACTTTGTCTGTTCGCTGTTTGATGTCGTGGAGGTGTGTGCAGTGGGTTTATCTGAGCAGAAACAGCTGCCTGCTGTGGCTGGAGGTTTATCACAAAGAGTCAACCAAACAGTAAAATTGGAGACTGAAATAACCACATCATTTAGAGTAAAAATGACATTATACCTTTACCACCAGACATTTTTGACACACCTTAAAATGAACATGAACTTTAACACTTACTCAAAGCAATGTGACATTTTCGTTAAGCATGATATTTTAAAGGGGGTTCTCCAGTGATTTAGTGCTGCACTTCCATTAAGTTGAGGGAGGCAGGGTAAAAAAAACCAATTAAAATCAAGGCGGAGGAATGTCTATCCTGAATGTCTGATCCTGACTGTTAGTACCTGGTTGCGGTCAAGCTCCAAAAAGGTCATACACGTAATTCAGCTTGGAAGTGTCTTTCATTAGACCCTGCCTGCCTGGTAAACTTTCCTGTTGGTCAAACCCAGACTGTAGAAAGCTCCCTTCAGGGTCACGGAAGTTATCGTACACTGTTTACACAGATGGGTACTATTCCCCATGATGAGTAAACTGAACTTCATGTAAGGTTCCCATGGA